AAAGGCATGTCTGTCTAATCATGCTTTATGGACTTGAGCAAGGCTGAAGTTATACTCCAGCCCAATAAAGACAACAATGTAGGCATCAAATCACATATCTAAAGGCCATTTGCCTGTAGTAGTTCCTATTTATATTAAAATATAAATCTTAGCTGATGAATACATAGAAAATGTTTCCTTTGTAGAAAAGTATGAAATCATTTGGATTTCTGGACCTTTAAAATTCTCATCATAAAGATAAAAAACTATGTAAGAATAATGAAAAAATAGCTAATATCTACTAACATCTTAGTAGATTATAGAAAGTACTAGATAGTGATGTATATTTCTGCATTTACAAAAGAAGCAAGAGTTTTTAGATGTGTTATGTAATTTCATTATGCACAAGTAGCATGATTAATCAAGATATATATTCATCATCTGTAATTTTTTGAGAACAAAATTGACTTGTACAGGACAGGAGGCAGACATGACCGTGAATTTAGACAATAGACCAACCTCCACATTTCAGAGGGATTTACTTGATTTCTAGTTGTCTTGTGGTACACAGTAAGTTTTTTGTTATTACTTCTGGTAAAAATGGCCCTAAGTAAGAAGTCAAATGTTTTTATTGAATTTTATAAAATTAATTTCCATACTAGAGTGCTATTCCACGGTTTGGGAATTTGTGAGGGTCCGTGGTATCTGTTTTACTATGTGTCCGGTTGTCACTGAGAGAAATCTGGGTACACAGTGACAAAATGTTTTGTCTGAAAGTTTAAATAATTAAAGCACTCTCCCATAAAATAAACTGTTATAAATACATAGCTAAAATGAATCTAAAGCCTTTCCTCTAAGCCTGCAGCTTAAGGAAACTAGCATGGCTAGTTCTGGAGAATTTGGTTGATTCTTTTTCTGCAGCAAGATGTGGATTTCACAGCACATTTCTGAAAGCCGTTTGCAGTTCATAGTTCCTACCCTGCAATGTGGGGATTTTCTCATTAATCTCTTCCTAGAGATTAAATTAACACATACATTGTTAGTATTTATGATCCAACTAATGAGTTCTCCTCCTCCTTGACTGCAGATTATTTTTCTCCTCATTTCAGGAGATAATCTAATAATTTAATATCATAATTATGGTTCCCCTTTGCCCTCCCTAGCTCAGATATAGAGATTCCCTCCCAAATTCATTTTTAAACTATGATTTAGTAACTACTGCACAGCCAAAATAAAATGAACTTCTCTTTGCTCATTTAGCTGCATGTTCCCTGACCAAATGCTCATTTAGAATCATGACTAGCTCTTATGATTCATAAGGAAGTCTGCTGGTCTTCTAACTTTTTCAACCAAACTGAATTACATTTTACCTCATTTCTGAATTTCAGCTCCAGAATATATCTGATGGACAGCTGAAGCAAATTTGGCTGTAGTCATGCTGTATAACTATGTTTAATACATGCTTCCTTTCTCTTACCATGTGAATGTATATTCACAGATACAGCAGCAATGAGTTCCCCCCAGATCTCCAGGACAATCCACGGAAAACAGAAGAGATGGCTAGAATGGAAGTTAAAAGGTTTGAGAGAGGACAACCTGCTTCCTCTTTCTAGAAGACAATGCCAAGTTTGTAGCAAGGCTCTGTCTCAAGGGGCTTTCTGCATAGAAATTTTTGTTAAGTTTATTTAGTAGGCCTAGAAGGAAAATTATCAGGGAAAATGATGTCAGGATCTTTATAACTGTGCTCTCTTCCAGATAATCCCCTAACTCACTGCTTTGTAGATACGGCCAAAGGGTTTCATAATGGAAATGTTATCTGCAGCCAATACAAAGAAACTTGCTTTATCCATTATATACTGGTGAAAATTTTGAGTATTTTGAGTATCGACCTCTGAGCACAGTTAGAATTTGTCTGTTTTTACAGAATCTCATTCTGTGTCCCAGGCTGGAGTGCAGTGGCACAATCTTGGCTCACTGCAACCTCTGCCTCCTGGATTCAAGCAATGTTCGTGCCTCAGCCTCCCCAGTGGTTGGAATTATAGGCGGGCACCATCACACCCAGCTAATTTTTTGTATTTTGGGTAAAGACAGGGTTTTCCATGTTGGTCAGGCTGGTCTTGAACTCCTGGGCTCACATGATCCAAGAGTGTTGGCATTACAGGTGTGAGCCACCATAACAGGTTGGGTTAAAAAAATTTTTAATTGCTGTATTTTAACCTGAGTTTTCAAAAGCCTGTTTCTGTTTACAAAACATACACATAACAATTATAGAATATTTAGGAATGCAAAAGAATAAAGGAAGAGTCAAAATTATCCATAATTCTATCCAACCAGTTATATAATTGGCCCCTACCACACATATTTTGTCACTGGTAGGCTGAACAAGCAAGTTCATATAATGTACCAAAAGCAATAGAACTTCGTTTCCCACTACCCTTTCAAAAATACCAACAGAGGTTCATTATTCCTGAAACACCTAAATAAAAAGTTGGACTGTCCTCCTATTCCTGACTACTGTTAATAAAAAGCCCTATAATCAATTTGAGTTAGCAGTCTTAAATAAGTAATTAGGTTTCCTAGTCTCACCATGATCAAAATTCTACTCTTCATTAAAAATTTTATCTTCTTACCCCTCCACCAGCTCAGGTCTGCTTTTGGGGAAGGGGTGTGGTCTATTATTTCCTTCCCCATGTATAACGATAACTCTCACCTATCTGGTGTTGGAGGAGCCTTAGAAATTAGAGGTTCAATGGGTAGGATTTTTCTTATGTTACTGTGCCTGTCCTACGGGAGCTTCACACCTTGTGGGGCTCACAGATGTTTAAAGCTGCCTTTGGATCTCCCGGGCATTTATGAATTAATTGAAGCAGTACCTACTGCAATTTACTGTATCTAGACAAACGCAACTTTAATCTGGCAGGTCAATGTTTAATGAGTCACCATTACAAGTGGCAATTTTCCACAGGCATGAAGGTAGACCACACTGGTTGTGCATCACATGAGCTTATGTCTGACTCATGGGAAATGCACGTATACGTTTCTGCTCTCTACTTACAGGATGCAGGCAAGTCCCAACATACAGGGGCTTTTTTGCATTTATTTATTAAGTGCTTAGCAAACCCATCTTTAGGTTTCTCAGATAAAATCAGACACCAGACTACCATGTCCCCAACACTGCAGGGGATAGACATTAAGTCCTCCATGTACTTTCATTGAAGCTCCAGTCACCAGGCCTGCAGTTGAACTTATCATAAATCTCTCCAAAATTCCTCTTCATAAAATCTTCTTTCCACAATCTCCAAACCTTTTCTACCTCAGATATGAGTGAGAGGCTTAATAGTCTAACCTGTTTTTAATTATTTCCTTTAAAATATTGATGCTTAGTAGCTAACTTTGAAATATTCACTCGTCTTTATCATGGAATCCTAGCTAAAAGTTCTAATTTAACCTCTTAATTATCTATTGATGTATTCTAGCTCCCCCGGCTTCACTCCCCACACACAAGTATATATATGCATTCAAGACTTGGGATCTGAAATCAGACTGCCTGGGTTGAGAGCCTGATTGCTTCATTTCACTAGCTCTTTGTCTCTGAGCTAGTCACTTATTCTTTTTGTGTCTTACATCATTTATAAACTGAAGATAATAATAGTCCCTTCCTCAGCAATATGAATATTTTGAAGATTAATATGATAATACATTTTAAAAAGGCTTCGAAAATTATCTAGCACATGTCATTAACAATGTTACCTTCACAGGCAATAATAAAATCATTAGTATTGTAATTATTATAAATGCTCTCTTTATCACTTTTTTGATTTATGAGGATTTTTACATGTCATTAAATATTCTCCTTTACATTGAATTGCGATACCATATTCAGCTGTATAAAGGCAGTATGATTTCTAATTCTAAACTGGACGTATATATCATTTCTAATATTTTGTCACATCACAGTCACTATGTTATCGCCTTTGTGTGCTCTTCCTCACCCCAACTTTAGAATACATTGATTGAACAGGAATTTCTGGGTCAAAATATGATTATTTTAAGGCATTTAATACATGTTAAAATTATCCAGCAAAAATTTAGTATCATTGTATATTCTATTTTCAAGAGTATCTTAAAATTTCGGCCTGCCTAATCTACTATTAGATACTGATTTAAGAATGAGAGTATGATAGGAAGATAATTAAAAAAAAAAAAAAAGACATAGGATGCTCTCTTGTTTCCTAATAGAGTGTGTCAAGAAATTCCTGGAAATGATTTGGACCTGGGAATTAGCAAAGCTCATTTGAGGTTGAATGAGGAGAAATCCAATATATCTTCAGAACCAGAGAGTTCTGCTGACATAACTACACTAATTTTTTTTTTTAATAGAAAAAGGAAATGAAGTGAGAATGAGCAGTAGTGCCTATCTATTGTGGTGGTTTATCATCAGAAACTTAGATTGAACTGCTTTAATTATGTAAATGTATCTTGTGGATGAGTGTTAATAAACTTCTATTCAAATAAATCTAAATTCCGCTTCTCTTAGCATATATTTTAATTAAAATCCTGAGCATAGTAACTATAGTTATATAGTTGACAAAATAATCACTAAAAGGTGTAAATCATCTAAATACTTGTCTAACATAGAGAACATGGTAATTAGTCCATTTTGATAATAGATTAGAAGTTTCACATATGTCAAAAGATAAGAATGTTGTGGTCTCATTTTCACCATTCCAGATAGGTACCATTATGAAGACTACGCCAATTTTATTGAGGTCCCATGAACTCAATGTTACCTGATTTCAGATATTTTCTCTCTATAGAAATAAGGGCACAAACATATTTTTCTTAAATATCTCAATTTAAAATGTTCTAATGTAGAAAACCATCTTTCTGTGATACTCTCTGCCTCTCTTTTTCTTCCTTTCTCTCTCTCTCTCTCTCTCTCATGCCCACAAAAGCATATAATTCCATCAAAACAAGGCAAAATATTCACCCACCCACTGAATAATACCCATTAGACGAACCTTATAAAGCAGCGGCAATTTTCCTAATTTCAGGAGTGCGATCCGATTTGTTACATTTTTCATTTTCCTAATCCTTTTTAAATCATCTGTCATTCCATAACTCACATCAATGACTTCAGCCTGAAAGAGGAGAAGAAAACAAAGAAAAATAATGTATTGGAGGAAGAATTATAGCCAATCGTCCATCTAGTATAACAAAATTATTCACAATAGTTTGTAATGTTCAATATAGAATTAATTCTATCTCCTACCCTGTCCCAATTACCATAAACATGACGTTTCTATTTCAATCAAGGTACAACAATTCTTCTGGGCACTTGAGAAAATGTGCGAATCATTTGTGCTTTGCCTTTTCTTGTCTAAAAATTTACAAACACAGTTTATTCTTCTAACAGACTACATTTGGAATATTCTACATTCATGTTTCTGGAATATGAGCCATTTTATGAAACACTGGAAGATTAATTTCCTTAAGGATCAACAGTAATTATATAATTCGCAGGCTTGAAAGAAAATTCAAAAGTTTTCTACTGCTATTTAAATGAAGTGCAATGTCCTCACTTCCACGGTCATCATGAACACCTGCTCATGATGACCACGATTTAAGGCTGTGCAACAGCCAGCTTTGAATGAACAATCCTTGAGCTGTGCAGAATACAACCTGTACAACCGCATGTGCCAGCCTAGCAACCCAGGACTTTAGAATACGGCCCCAAATTATCATCTTTGTCACATTTCCCACTATTCATCTAGAGTTATCTTATACTCAACTTCACTGTTACTCATTTTTAAAAGTCCTCTTGTGTTAATGCAAAAACAAATCTCATGCCTTTCTGGAGATTCCAATAAAAACCTTCTCATGCAGTGAATCCTTTCCTTCTCCTTGAGAAGTACTGAACTGCAGATTCATATATTCCTATGAATCAAGCCTACTTTCTGTAATATCTATTTATTATTAAAGCAATAGTTGTTATGCTTTCCAGTGATTATATGATAATGTAAATCTGGTATTTCAAATTATAGCATATATCCACAGAGAGGCTGATTAAAAAAAGTTAGCCATGGTAAACAACGGAAAAATGAAGATGTAGAATCCAGATCTGGAACTTTCCATCCTTCTCAATTGAAACTAATGCACTTCAACAAGTTTTATACATAGTATTTCCATAAAAGATTCATCTGAGGAAAGAGTATTGCTTCTATAGAAACATATGAATACCACCAAATGACAGGAAAATCTGTTAGAGAGAACATTTCTGATGTGAAATATTTCCTTAGCCATCACATTCATCTGTATCTGTAAAAAGTCTACAAATACACTTAAGTCCATTTCAAATGTACCTACCTGATGAATTTTATTTCTCTGTTGCCCAAATATGGCCTCCCTCTACTTTGGCTACCAAAGTAATCTGTTTTTGCCTCTGTTAAGGCCCTCACTAGACACGTCTGCCAATTTCGGTTTGCAATACAGGCAAATTCCTTGGTGAAGAGCCCATTACATACTCATGCTCACCCAGGTGTCCAGCATATGCTACAGACTCAGTAGCTCTTGAACCAAAATGATTACAAATCTTACACTATCTCTGAAAAGTTAAGCTGTACTTTCAAATGGATTTGCCAGGGTAATGTAATTGTTAAAAGCACTTATGTCAGAATGATTTTTCATTTTAATTTTATTCATATTAAAATATGATTAAATCAGTGCCTTTAATATAATTTTTTTAGTTTGCTGATACCATTACCATATAAATAACTGTTGATATATGATTTTAAAAGTCTGATTAAGTAAATGATCACATAATATTAATGATTACATTATAAAAGTGAGAAAAACTTATATTTTCCATTTCATTTCCAAGCTACCTACTAATTATTTGTGATTCAGTGACAGCGCCTTATAATAAAGCTATTACTAAATTGGTTATATAAACAAAAATCTTTTTTATATGTAGTAGAGGTTAAGAAAAAACTTACTTGTTTGAGAAGATATAAATCAGTTTGTATATACAGACATACGTCAGAGATATTGCAAGTTCAGTTCCAGACTACCACAATAAAGCAAATATTGCAATAAAGTGAGTCACACAAATGTTTGGGTTTTCCAATACACATAATACTTATGTTCACACTATATTGTAGTCTATTAAGTGTGCAATAGCATTATGTCTAAAACAAAATATCCTACCTTAATTTAAAAATATTGATCTGAGTTTTCAGTTCATTTTATTTTCTTCTTTGCTAGAGAAAGATTTTGCCTCATGTTGGTGGCTGCTAACTGATCAGGGTCACAGTTGCTGAAGGTCAGTGTAGCTTTTATAATTTTTTTTGAAATAAGACAACAGTGAAGTTTGCCGCATCGACTGACTCTTCCGTTCATAAAATATCTCTCATGACATGCTGTTTGATAGCATTTTACCCGAAGTAGAACTCCTTTGAAATTGGAGCCAATTCCCTGGAACCCTATGCTTTAATGAACTAACTTTACATAGTATTCTAAATCCTTTGTTGCCATTTCAACAATGTTCCTGGGAGTTGGAAAGACAGAGTCTAGGAGCAGATTCCACCTCAATAAACCACTTTCTTTGTTCATCCATAAGAAATAACTCTTCATCCATTCAAGTTTCATCAAGACATTACAACAATTTAGTCACATCTTCAGGTTCAACTTCAGATTCTAGTTTTCTCGCTATTTCTACCACCCCTGCAGTTAACCCCTTAAAATCTTGAACCCCCCAACTCAGCCATGAGGGTTGAACTCAATTTCTTTCAAACTCCTGTTAGTGCTGATATTTTGACCTCCTTTCATGAACCACAAATGTTCCAAATGGCATCTAAAATGGTGTATCCTTTCCAGAATATTTTCAATATACGTTCTCAGATTTATCAGAGGAATCACTATCTGGGGCAGCTACAATCTTACAAATATATTTCTTAAATTATTTAATAAGACTTGAATGTTGAAATTACTCCATGAGTTAAGGGTTACAGGATGGATGTTGTGTCAATAGTCTTGAAAACAACATTAATCTCCTGTACATCACCATCAGAGGTCTTGGGTGACCAGGCACATTGTCAAATAACAATAATATTTTGAAAGAAATCTTGTTTTCTGAGCAGTAGTTCTCAATAGTGTGGTTGAATATTTTTATTGAGTAATCCACGTGTAAACATGTTTACTGTTATGCAGTCTTTGTTGTTCCATTTCTAAAGCACAGCAGGGTAGACTTAGCATAGCTATTAAGGGCCCTAGAACATTTAGAATGGCAAATGAGCACTGGCTTCAACTTCAAGTCACCAGCAGCGTTAGATCCTAACAAGAGAGTCAGCCTCACCTTTGAAGCTTTGAAGCCCAGCCTAGACGTCTTCTCTCTAGTTATGAATGTACTAGGTAACATCATCCTCCAACCTAAGGCAGTTTTGTCTACATGGAAAATCTATTGTTTAGGGCAGCCACTTTCACTAATACCTTAGCTAGGTCTTATAGATAACTTGCTGCAGCTTGTGTATTAGAACATGCTGATTCACCCTGCACTTTTATGTGATGGAGATGGCTTCTTTTCTTAAACCTCACAAATCAACCTCTGCTAGCTTCAAGGTTTTCTTCTGCAGCTTCCTCATCTTTCGAAGTTTTTCACAAGTTAAAAGAGTTAGGGGCTTGCTCTGGATTAGGCTTTGGCTAAAAAAAAAAAAAATTGTGGCTTGTTTGATCTTCTATCCCAATCACTCAGACTTTCTTCATATCAGCAATATGGCTGTTTTGCTCTCTAATTATTCATGTGTTCACTGGAGTAGCATTTTTAATTGCCTCCGAGGACTTTTTCTTAGCATTCATAACTTGGCTGTTTGGCACAAGAGACCTAGCTTTTGGCCCGTCTTGGCTTTTGACCTGCCTTCCTTATTAAGCTTAATCATTTCTTTTTATTGACAGTGAAAGACATGTAACTCTTCCTTTCATTGGAACAATTAGAGCCTATTGTAGGATTCTTAATTGGTTTCATTTCAATATTGTTTTATTTCAGAGAATAGGGAGGCCCAGGAGAGGGAGGGAGAGGGGAAATGCTGCTGGGTAGAGCAGTCAGAACACACATAATATTTATTGAATCAGTTTGCTATGTTATATGGGTGCATTTCCTGGTACCTCAAAACAATAATAATGGATAATGGTAACATCAAAGATCACTGATCACAGGTAACTCTAGCACATATAACTATAATGAAAAAGTTTGAAATGTTGTGAGAATTATCAAAATGTGATATAGAGATGTGAGCTGAGCACATGGTACTGAAAAAAATGGCACCAACAGACGTGCTAAATGCAGGGTTGCCATGATCTTCAATCTGTAAAAAACACAGTATATGTGAAGCATGCTAAAGTGAAGCACAATAAATCCAGATATGTCTGTATATCAGAAAGGTATGACAGTTACGAAAATGCCAATTCTTCAAAAGACGTTTACATGATTGGAACATATCAATAGGCTGAGTAAACAATGATAATTTTGATTAAATAGCTCTTCAATTCATCTTCTCTAAATAGTACATGTTAAAAAATCAAGTGTTTTAGCATGTAAGAGAATTTTTAGTTTTCCCCACAAAAAATATTTCTCAATACAGACAACATTATATCAATTTATTTTGGCTTATGCAGTAAAAATCAATAATTACATAAGTCTCAATGTTCTGGTGGTTTCGCAGGCAATGATAAAAATGTATCCATTGCCTTTAAAGGAAGGCTTAAAACTAGATCCTTTTTGAAAGTCTTTTCTATTTGCCTTCAAGCAAACTGAACATCACAGCTGCAGGAAAACACATTAAATTTTTCTGAGGCACAAATCAATATACAACGATATGATAAAATGCCAAGCCATTTCTTTCCACATATACTTGTCGCTACAATGAACCTCTTCTTTCTGCATTTATTCAGTCACACTAGAAAATTGTTCACTCAGCTAGTTGGAGTACTATGTTTAACTTATAACCAAACACCAATGATTAAGACACCTCTTACTGGTCTCTATGGGAAATGTCAAACGAACAGAAATCTAGGTACCTGAGCTATCCATTCTGTGCATACCACAGTTTTTCTAATGAGGATTTCCTTGGCACATAAGAGAGAGTAA